AGAGGCAAACATTTGAATCATCATGTCAATCATGCCACTCCCTAATTTTTCTTTCCAGTAATGTGTCAAGACTGGATTCTTTTCATTGATGATTTCTCAATCAACAAGGCACCAGAGAGTAATGGTAGACGATTCTATCTAACTAGTTCTGGTACAGCTTCACCCAGCTCCTCTGGTACAAACATMAATACCTTAGCGAGCAGAAGTGCTGCACCAAAGTCAGCTCTTGCTAGAGTCAAGCTATGGGCAGCTGGGGAGCCTAGAGGCAGGTCAGGGATTGTTTGAAAATTTCCTTGTAGTGTACATGTACAACTACAGTGAATTGAACCAGAGGCTGTGGCAGTAACAAAGTGTACATGATAGGTTTATAGACTGTACTATGTGTATGTTGAAATTGCTAAACAATACTCTGGTGAACAGTGAAACCTTATTCAATAAAAAATGCATATTTCTTGCTCAATAAGCACCATAGAAATATCAAGGACAGTCACTACTGATCAAACCAAATCTCAAGATGAGAATTTAGCAATGGACAAACAATAGATAAGTCTTCCAACAATAAAACAAAACCTAACAATAGAGCTGCTGTACATAAAGAGTGATCAAAAAGCAGATTTTTTTGATGTTAAGCAAATATCATAAACTAAGACTTTGTTGGGTTTTTTTGTCTTTCCAAAAATATTTCCTGCTATCATCAGTGATTTCAATTTAACAGTAAACTATGACAACTGAATAATTAACTTAAATAATAAACTTATTAAAATTAGTATTGATATTTAAATTTATAGATCTGGTGAAGAGAGTGTTGCTCTTAGTGAATGTTTACAACTTGTTTACCTTCCATCTTGCAACCACCATCTTCTTGTCCTGTTCCCACGTGAGGTGATGATTCTAGACATGGAGATCAACCAGGCAGTGTGCTCATTTTGTTTGGAAAGAAACAGCCCTTCATTTATTCAAATCATTCCTTGCAGGTACACACAGGCAAATACACCAGTTTCGAATTCATTGTGAAAAACCGTGGCTTTATTTTACAACAGATTCTCTTGCTCAAAGAGCTGACCAAACACAAAAGAGAGCAAGAGAAAATGTTGTTATTACAATAGCCTTAAAATTTCACTTGAGTTGAGACTACAGTAACTCTGTATTCCGATAAGACCTAAGGTATGAGTCTTATGGGAATACAGGGTTATCCACAACTCGGGGAAAATGTAAATTGTTAGCGCTATTGTACTAACAACATTTTCTTGTGCTTTCTTTTGTGTTTCGTAAGCTCGTTGCATAAGAATCTGCTGTCAAAAAAACAGCAGTTATTCGCTTTGAATTCGAAAATGGAGTATTGCACCCTTGGTTTTAAAAACTCCAATAATTATTAAAGAGAATAAATGGGCTAATTCTTTCTTTGTAGACAAAGAGATGTTCTAATGTGTCTTCATGAGAATGGCAGTATTATCATGAGATCTCGTAGAAGAATCACCCAAAACCCTTACTTCTTCAATGACCATGAAAARCAAGAATCCAACATGTCTGTTGACATTGTCTACGAAACAAAATGCCAATCAGATACACTTCGTCTTAGTAAATCAAGCCGTCTCCATGGTTTTCTTTGTTGTCCCACATCGGAGAAGAAGTTGGTTCTATTGATTAGTGATGGAAGAATTTTAATATGGGATCTCAAAGCCAAAAGATGTCAAACTTTGGAAAGCTCTTTTATGTCCCAAGAATGTATCAGAGTATCGTCACCTGTGGGGTCAAATATTACTGATGCTGTCCAAAGTCCTGTATTGAGACTAGCAGATGTTATTCCTCCGCCATTAACGTCAGGAAAAGTGCTTCCTCAACCAGGTCATTTTAARTTCATTATGACTGGAATTATGAGTGCTGTGGCTGCTCCGCCTACTTGCGCTGTGATGTGCCCACCGTTGACAACCAAGAACTGGTCAAGTTATAAACCCTTGATTGCTATTGGTTAGTTAATCTATTTTCATGGGAAAAATGGAATTGAATAGATGTAAAAATTGCTAATTCAAAGAATGAATTCTAATGAAAATGTTTGGCATTTCATAGTTTTCCTGAATTTCTTTTCTGTCAGGTTTTTGAGCTTTAATTGTTATCAATAATAATAATACATTATATAATTATTATTATTATTATGGTTAATTAAATAAATCAAATGAATTGATTAATTAATTAAATTTTTGTAATGGTGTTTTTTTTTCTTCAGGAACCAACCAGGGCAGTATCCAGGTATTCAATCTCTCCACAGGGATCCTGACACGGGAATACAGTATCCATACTGGAAGTGTTAGGTACATTTACTTATTAGAATGATACCAAAACATTGTACTATAATAACTGTGAAAACATGAAAATAAATATTGTCTCCTACACTGTATATGTTGTTTGCATTGCTACATGAC